GCGATATCGAGCAACAGTAACAGTCACTGCTTGATCTGCCTAATTTTCGAAAAAAGTCCAATTATGACTCCAGCTCAAAATAGACATCAAACAATCATACATATGTTGAGGATGCATTTGTTTTCCGAAAATCACATGTGAGTTCTCAAAACCCCAAAAGCGACAGGTTTGGCGATTAAAAAATCCATCAAAGTGAAAATGTGCTTCGTCGCTTAGGATGATTTTCTTTAAAAATGATCATTTGTTGATGAAATTTGAAATATTGTTCAATTATAAAGACAATCTGTAAAACGCACCATTTTTACTTAGCCTAAATGTTCAGCTGTCGATATAATTTTTTTTTTGTTAGTTTCCAACACTTTACTACATAAATGACGGCAAATTTAAATCTTGCGTTAATTTTTGGTCTTGGCACTATGTTAATAGTTTATAACTAGTTGAGTTGACTGCAGGACATATAAGTAAGTATATGAAATAAATATGCTAAGTATTAGTGATGTATGCATATATCCTATCGTTTGCACGTAATTTTGTGAAGTAACCAGTTTGTCTAGTATATAAGCGCCGGAGTAATTCGTGGGTCCATGTCACATATTTTCGACATTTAACTATAGTGTATGCAGTGTCATACATTTATATCATTTTTATAAGATGTATACGTGTATGTGGGCACTAAGGATAGTGTTTGACTTCATTTTTATCCATTTAAGGCTGTACAATATATTATATCATTACCAGAAAAAGATGCTCCATGACTTTCGTTAACCTCACATATCGGTAGATTTAGTTACAGCAATTGATAAGTTTTCGATTAATAGTATTTTGTAAGGGGGCAGTGGTTACATTTCATCAAAATATCTAAATTTTTACTCAAGCAACTGCTTGCAAGAACAGACGGACGAATATCCCCCGGAACTAAAATATGACCATTGACTCCATCAAACTGGTTTTCACAACTATGTAAAGTAAAACAGATGTTTTATTTATAAAAAGGCTGTAAGATAAAAATCTTCAAAATTTATTAAGATAATAACATTTTATTAATGTCGCAGATAGGAAAATCTATTTTATAAAAATTGAATGTTGAATTTTTCAAGTACACAATAAAAAGTCAGTTTCGATTATCACAATCCCATTTATGAACTCGAATTTTTTTTTGCACTGAAGAACTTGCATACCAAGTTTTATCAAGATATCTCAATTTTTACTCAAGTTACAGCTGCACGGACGGACAGACAGACATACAGTCAACTGGATTTCAACTTTTCACCCTGAACTAAAACTATAATACTCTGCAGCAATGGTACATACCAGATGTAAAAGTTAGCCACAGAAATAGCTGTAAGAAGGAATGGTTAGTTATGTAGATACTATATATACACGTATATGAATGATAATATTTAAAAACAAATCTAGAATAACTACGTAATGATTTGTGAAAAAGGAAAATGTGTATTCAAGGAGCGTTCCAAAGTAAACAGAGCTTTAAAAAAACATAACAAACAGTTTTTTCGGCAAAATCAATTCATTTTATTCAAAAAAATTCTGCGTCAATACTGCTTTTTCCACGGTCCAAAAGGATGTCGAACGAGTGAACGCTTTCCTTTCATGGGCAAATGCATTTTTCCGAAAAGGAAGAAGTCGCACGATGCTATATCTGGTGAATACGGGGATTGGTTAATGGTTAAAATGTGATTTTTGGTAAAATAATCGGTCACATGTCTCGAATTGAATGTTGGTTTCTGAGCAATTTTTGGTCGTTAGTCAATTTAATGTTGGATCTTTGTTCAAAGCTCAATTTCCCACTGATAACACAAACATATTAACAAATAAAACGCAGTAACTTCACTTCCAATCCATGAAATGTCATGAAATGAACTGGACAATCGATAAAATCGGCATAGAGAGGCGCTAGATTCAAAAAGTCCCGTTTGCTTTGGAACACACCTTGTAATATACGAACTTCTAAATTTTAATCACACTCCTTGTATTCAAATGCTTTAGTGTCAATAATTTGTGAATTCAAAAATAGTAAAACAAGAAAATACTTTAACATTCATTTCACCGAAGCTATAATACCTTTCACGAATAAAAAGTTTTCTGGACAAGTGGTTTTGTAATTGTACCTTTGCCTTGTCGCAAAGATAACTTGAAAAATGAAAAAGTTTTGCATACAAGAACATGTTTTTGATCGATTAGTTTGTTTGGCAGCTAGTTATTCGATATAAAGCAGGGGGAAGAATTCTGTCGGATATTGTTTTTTTTTTTTTTTTAAATGTTTAATCCTTTTAATAAATAATAATAATAATAAGTTACTAAGCAAATTCGATTCGATTCGTATTAACTTGGCCATTAAAATTGTTTATAGTTATATTCCCAGTCCATTATACTGTGTCCAACATGTTGCGCTCGTTTATTATACAAATTTCAAAGTTCGTACTGTCCTGTTAATTATATAATTTATGAATTGGGATATTATTAAATGCGCTCATATTTCAGTAAGCTACACTTTTTTTTATACCTGCCCCAGCTAAAATATTGTAGTTCCATATTGTTGTCGTTCTTACTTTCCTTAACTCCAGACTAATATTATGTAGTTTTCTTTAGGTATTCGTAAATCGATAGTTTTCAATTATCATACTCGTACGTATGTACATATATATGTTAGTAGTTGAGTTTGGGAAAATGGTAGGTTCTGCCAATTAAAATCTCCTACATAAGTATGTATGTACTTACGTACAAATGTAGGTATGTACATACATACATAGATGAATATTTGCATATGAAAATTGTTAAAACGAGTAATTCCTAGCATCCCTTTCCTTATATAACCAATGGGCGTGTAAATATCCGTCCTCCCTAAAACCACAATCAGTAGAGATTTTTGAGGTTAACAGTTATCCATTGTACTATTGCGTGCTCTTCTACATAATCGTAAATGCACCTGCTGCTGTTGCACCTGTAAGGATTTCTCAACCCATTGCAAACACTGTAATAAAATATTTTTATCTGATACGTTCAAACGGAGATTTTTTTGACAACAAATAGGCGGAGCTGCGCAAAACATTTACACTCAGCTGAGCTCTCGTTGGATATCCGTCTATGTAATATAATCGTATTTACCATTTTACGGACAGCAATTTAAAACGCCCACTTTTCTACTACAACAACCAAAAGCTTGGAAAGCCAAACCAACACCGAAAACATACGGGAAACCACCACCAATGCCAAAATATAAAATATACTCTTACACCACTACCACGAAAGTAGTGGCTATGTTACAATCAAAACACGTGAGAAGCCCTTACAGTTGGACGAGAACTTGAATAGTGATTGAGCTTACTCGGAGCAAACTCTCTATATGAAATGGTGCTATAAATGTTTTTATAATAAGCATACAGGGTACAGTGTGCATGACATTTCAAAACGTAATGTAAAAAAAACCAAACTGTCCAAACTATGTTATTACGAAATGAATTGCATACGCTTTCTTCAGCACTCCATAAAAGCCTAGACTCTTCTCAGAATCGTGAATGCTTCTGGCATGACATCTTGGCGGAGGATGAAACTGAGATTCCATCTTCTCTTATTATTTAAAATTGTTTATAAATTCGGTTTGTCCCGTGTTATATTGTGAGACATTGGTCGTTCCTATTTTCGCATACAAATGCATACGCCTACATAGGCTATGTGGATGTATTTATGTACATGGATTTCCTTAAATTTACTGATTATTGTCGTGTATCTCCAGCAATATGGTATATATATTTATACAAACTTTATTTCATTGTTTGTTGAATACCATAAGAAAGAGAATGAGTTAGATCCTTAGGTGCAATTTTAATTTGAGTTTGGCTTGGGTCAAAAAAATACAGGTTCGAACATTACTTACAACTTACTTAACGGTATCTCACACTCTCTTTAAAAAAAAAAAATAACAAAAATAAATAAATGGTACTGCTTAGTTAAATTTTAGTCCATTACAAAACTGAAATATACTTTATTATCAATTATTTTTATTAACCCTTTATTTTGGTTTTCTATAAAATTTCTATATTTGGTTCGAAGTATTAAAAAATTTTAAAAATACGAAAAAACAATAAATTTGTATATGCGTTTTTTTAATTGAACTATTCACTGTCGTAAAATTAATCGAAAATATTCATAATAAAACTTAGCTTTGAAGATAGAGCCTATACCACATTAATGAGGAATCCGTATATTCTCTTGTGAGAATTCCACTCCATAAATTAGTTGTTGCTATTGCGATCTCTACCAGTTCCACCGCAAGACTACAATGTGAAATAAATCTATTTATTTCTGAGTGAGGTTTACGATTGTTAAATGTTTTAAATATTTTATGTATGTATATTAATAAATATATATCAATATATAATATCATATTTAAATTAATATATTACATATATATATATTATAATATTAATATTAACCATTCAGAGTTGCGCCAATAAATATTGGCAAAGTATTGCTCTTCCCATAGTAATATAATATTTCGAAAATTCAAAGCTTTGTTAATTGGAATGCTCACATAAAGCTAAAGCATTTGCATATTCAATGCAACAATGTAGCGGGACATTTTAATAAAAAAATTTCATTTCCTCGCAACATTAAAACCATCACAAACGATAAAGTTGTCATTATTGTTAAATACTGCAGACGGCAATATTCGTCCCACTGTATTGATGTTTTTCAGGAGCCAAGACTTTTGAGCGACGTTACGGGAACACATGGTAACACAAATACTGGCCTCAAACAGCTTTGTTTGTATTCACATAACGGGACTCCATCATAGGGTGTTTTTGTTTTTTAATACGAATGTGGATACATGGATCCATACTCACACTCATTCAATCATCATTCGGTAGTGTACAGTGCGCAGTTGTACTTAGTTGCGTTAAATATGGGTGGTGGTTTTTATATACGCTCTATTAGTATTAACAGTAAGCTCTACTACTACCGGTAAAGTGCAGCATCGGAATTGTTGGAGAAGCATTCCAGTATGACGCGCGTTGCCGTACACAACGAGGCGACGCGACAGAGCACGACATCCGACGATCCGCATACGGTGTAACGGTCTACTTTTCACTGCCGGGAATATATATCTCAACGAAAAGCTTAGCTCGACCATTCCGTAACTATCGCGACGTACAACCTTCATAATACTTAGTAATTATCAGCACATTACTAAAGGTGGTTGTCGCAGAACTCACGAACCGAGTCGATTTTGTTAACTTTAAGAGTGAAATGGGCTGCTTTTGAAATAAAAAGATTTGTGCATAAAAAATAATAATAAAGAATATGCAGTAGATAACATGTTTTTGTTCTAATTCGTGATTTAATTAACATAGACTGCAAGATGTTTAATAATTCTGTGTAAATTAATATGTAAACTAAATAATGTAGGGTGCAAATCTGTACGTATAAGCATTAAACATCATTACGTCAAATACAAAAAACAAAAACAAAAGTGTGTCTTAGTCAATACAAAAATAATCTTAGAATAGAGTGTGTGAAGAAAAACTAACTCTAAATGAGAATGGAAGACCCAAACCTCGCCGAACAGTATGTGCAGGAATTCGTGCTCGATCACCTGGAGGACGGTTCAGCAACTGTTACAGCTATTGGGGTGAAACGTGAAGATCACAGTCCAGTGGCAGCACCAAAAATTACTTGGACAACTACAGCAATCACTCCGGAGGAAGAGGAAACAACTAATCCACCCGCCATCAAGATGCGATCTTTTCCACAAAGCTGGCATATAGACGATCGCCGATTGCAGCCATTATCCCCACCACCGGAAATCTATACGCACGGACCTATGGCAGGGCAGGCAATCCTTGTGAACACATCGGTGCCTGGTGGAGTACCATCGACACCGCCTGAAACCCCACCTGTTATTAGCTCTCCTAATGGAAGTACTTGTGTCCAAACGTATGCAACAATTACAAGTGCTTCATATCCAACACATCGTCCACCCACCGCCAGTACTGGTCTCACACAAGAAATGATGTGGCTACCTAACTCCATGCGTTCAGATCCTCAGCCATTAGACTTACGACCACTTGCTTGTCCCACTCATGAGGAGGAATGGGAGCGACAACGTGAATACATGCATGCCACAGCGTCAGTTGTGGCCGCCAATCATCATCATGGACAATTGGTGGCACAATCGCAGCTCCATCCCCACCACCATCATCATTTTCAATCACTAGAGCACTTAGCACCCATCAACATGCATACGCCTTATCACAGTAGTATACCCAACGGCGCTACCAGTCTTAGCAGTGGTGGCAATGACAGTCAGGTACCATCTAACGCTGCAATTACGACTTCAGTGGTTCACCTCAATCGACCAATGTCGGTCTGCTCTACTCGATCATCCACAAATTCACCGCGCACCTGCTCCAGACAATATAGCACTTCCAGTAATTTAGGTATTGATGACTGTATCAGTGATGATTTGTTAACGACTTTGAGCGTACGAGAATTAAATAAACGCCTGCATGGATGCCCTCGTGAAGAAGTGGTGCGGCTCAAGGCTAAACGTAGGACGCTGAAAAATCGTGGATATGCGCAAAGCTGTCGCTCAAAACGACTACAGCAACGGCATGAGCTGGAGAAAACCAATCGTCAGTTGAATCAGGATCTGCATCGTTTGAAATTAGAATTTTCGCGTGTTTGTCAAGAGCGCGATCACTTAAAACAACGTCTGCAAATAAGAACGAGCGGAAATAGTAGTGGTGTAATTGCTGCTCTAGCGAATGCTAGCGATGGGAGTACACCAGGTGTGATCACCGTTGGTCAACCACATTGTAATGCAGAGAGTCAAAATTCGCCGGAGTTTTATCTCTGACGCCAACTTTCTATCGGAGGAGAACATGCTGCAGCCGCCGTTGCAGTGGCCGCAGCATCCAGCCATCATCTGCCACACACGCAATCTTTACATCGGCACTCACATCAATGGCCATCACGCTACCATCAGCATGTACACCAACAACCAACAAGCACTGTAATAATCTGAATGCGATGTGTAGGAAATTACTGATATTTTATAATTAGTGCACGCCGTATTTAGTGTAAAGCATTAAAATAGTAATTATTACTTAAAACTTTTCTGTGACTTTAGTCGGCAGAAACATCAATGTTTGTAAGTAAAATGGACACAAATAGTTATTTGAGACGTCTCCCATTGCTCTGAGTGTCCTAGTAATGTATAGGCATATCCCATAAACAATCTGCACATAAAGTTGGACTTTCATGTAACTTGAACCTCTTTAACTCGAAGTTCTCCATAACTCATACTCTTGAATTGGCAATAGATGTAAAATTTCAAACGAATTTCCTCCCATAACTCGAAGTTTTTTGAGGATTATGGGTGATTCGAGTTAGGAAAGCTTCACTGTATATTAAACTTAATATTTTTTGATCGGATCAGTTCCTGAGTTCGAAGTGGACACAATATCTTCCGGTTTAAGTTAAGCAGAAAGGGTAAAATAATTATTCGATTCGAGATGTGTACATACTTTTATTTTATTAAGAGCTATTAGATAAAATCATTCATAAACGTTTGACAATAAAATAATAAGTATGTGTTGTGTTTAGGTCGTAATTCTAATATATGTTTGTCTAAATACATATGTATGTACGTAAATAGGTACATAATTGGTAAATCAATTGTAGTGAATAAAGATATTACAAGTATGCATGTCCTCCAGCTTATGTTCAAAGCTCTGCAACATATTTGTCCATTTTCAAATTTATGCATTAATTAATTGAATTTAAGACTTTAAATTAATACATAAATATATTGTGAAACAGCAAATAAAAATAAGTGGTGTTACCTTAAAAGATTGGAAAATATTACTTGTAAAATTCTTTAAGCAACAATAACATGAAATTAAAAAAACCTTGGTTATTGTACTATAAATATCGTTAAGAAATATCTAAGAATATATTTTTGTGATATTATTGTAATGCAAAGGATTGGTTGATAGCAATAATCAATTGTTTCTCTCTTCTACCTCTTCTTCTAAGAAATATTAATGTGGTACTTGGTAGTACGAGTATAGTATATTTTAATACAACGTGGTGAAACTCTATCCAACACGAAAATTTTTTAGTTGACGAAAACTAACATGTAGAAGAGAAAAGTGAGATATAGGTTTGGTTATATTCGATTATCTTCAGTACCTGTATCTATTATTAAGAGAGTAAAGAACTCTCATATAAAAGAGAAGTTTGATCAATGTCTCTATCCTCCTGATTTTTCAACATGTAGGCAACTTTCTATACCATCTGCTACTACCAGTTAATACCGCATTTTTGATCTGAAAAACTAGTCGACAATAACAATTGTTTCATTTTTATTTACATTGTTGTATATACTTAAATATGGGTCTTGAATATATTAAATTTTATCTTTGAGTTATTCTATTGTATGTATATCTATTATATGTATCGTTTTAATTTAGAAAAACAAATTCATAAAACATCAATCATATTGAAAGCACTAACAAAAAGCAAAAATAAAAATGTTAAAAAACCTGTTCTATAGGCATCGCCTTTCCCAATGGGCTTGGTTTTTGGAAAATGAGATTTCTAAACATCAATATTTCTATTGCAAAACAAAACTACAAGTTCAATTTTTAAATTATATCTAATTTATTGTATTTACAGATATATTTCTTTGAAATACTATATCAGTATAACTTTTTGATTTCATTATAGTAATTTTAACTGTACTGTTTCAAAACGTAAACTATTTACAAAAAAGTACGAGTATATATTTTTTAACAAATGAAAATTTCAGTTAGTTTTTGAACACACCTCTTATTATACATATGATATTATTAAGATTTATGAATAATTGTATGTATAATTATTGTTACATTGTATAGTTAGTGAATTAAACACGCGCTTGGTTGATAAGTTAAGCATTTGTAAGTATATACCCATAAATATATATATATTTAAGGTACATTTGTAAACATTTTAAAATATTCGAATAAAAAAGAGAGAGTTTCTTAATTAATTATACAACATTCATTAATTTAATTATTT